TTATGCTGGACTAACTGACATATAAGGTAGAACTCTTTTGGTTGCAACTGAGAAACCCAACTTGAAATGACCAAAAGGGTAATTCATTTTATATCACTGAGAGAAGGGCAAGAAGCTAAATCCCAGGTTCATCTGACATGGTACCAATAATCCCTTGTCTTTCTCTCCTCTTTATATATGAACTTAACTCTATCTCTCCAATAGCTTAATTCCTTCCAAGGAGTAGAAGTTCTAATGACCCTTAGACATTCAGGCTCTTTTTGGCCACCAACTAAAACTTAGCCTCTTAGGTCCTAAGTTAAAAAATCCCAACCTCAAACTGTGGTGGCTCACACCTGTAGTCTAGCTACTTGGAAGGCTTAGATACAAGAGGATCTCATTTCAAGGCCAGCCCAAGCAAGAAATTTGCAAGACTCCATCCCAACCAACAGGTAGGTATAGTGGCACATGCCTGGCCTCCCAGTACTGGTGAGAAGCATAAAATAGGATGATCCAGGCCTACTGGGCAAAAAGCGAGATCTTATTTTCAAAATAACTAGAACAAAAAGGGAGTGTGACTCAAGTGATAGACCACCTGCCTAGCAAGAGTGAAGCCCTGAGTTCAAACCTCAGTACTCCTAGAAAACCCCATAATACCCAACCTCAGCTGCCCATCCATGAATCAGTCAGTGTGAATAGGATGGTAAGTAATTGAACTGGCCAAGCTTCAGTCAGATGCCCACAGCAAGTCAATAATTACAGTCAAGAAGGCAAAGACTATATAGGAACAGTAAAGGCACCTATTCCACTCAGACCGATATGATGGGAGAACAGAAGAAGCATTTTCCAGAATAAGTACTGACAAAACAACTGTTGTCTTAGAAGACAAGAAACATGTTGCATGTGGTTGGCAAAAATGTTGAAGATGAAATAAAAATACCAATTATTTGGGCATCAGAAAAAATCAGCCAAATTTTTCAAGTTTGCTAGACACAAGTTCTGAACCATAGAAATGAGTGTTGCTATGAGTGTCACACAGACGTATCAGTCATTGCACAGACACTGAACAATCAGAACCAAACCACAGCCAACCAGTAAAAAGCCCAGCTCCAGTAGGAGCAGAATATGTCTGGCTTATCTCAATTTGGAGAAAAGTGCCGTATGTTTTTAAATCTTCTGTATGCCATTTTTTCATGCATGTTAGTCTGCTACACACTAATCTTAAGAATGACAAGTAACATGATTCAAACCAGAAACCAAGAGAATCCAACTTTGAATTTCCTTAATGTACATAAAATCATCCAGAGTTCAGAGCCTCAATCTCAAAAATCTTTGTGAGGCTTACAGTTAGAACCTATTCAATCACTGTATTAAATTATCCATATTTTTCTGATGCCATTAACTCTTTGTTCTGCTTGGAGACACATTGTTCTAAATTGCATTCCACTTAGGGAAAAGCACCCTGACTTTTCATAAGCACTTGGAATAAATAAGAAAGTCAACAACCATAAAAACTTAGAAGGGGAGTAACGTGCTCACAGCTGGAATGCTTCTGTTTATTAGGAATTAGGGTAATTCTAAAGTAGGACAGCCAAGCGAGCCAGGAGAGGCAGGTGTGGGGAAAACCATGAAGACATGGTGCCAGGGCTTTTAAGCAATATTCAGGCCAATACTAGGAGCAATGAAAAGATCAAAGAGCTAGTCCACCTGAAGTGACAAAGCCCAGCATTTCCATCAACCTGCTGTCTCATGGGACTCTCCCTTTCCTGTCAGCAGCAAGCTCTGCCCAACATAGGAAATTATAAGCTAAGCTGCTTGTGAATTGAGATACTAAAAATTACACTTGTAATAAACCACATAGCCAAGACTGTGTCCAACTTTATCTCACCTCCCCATGAAAGGTAAAGCAAAACATAATTGCTGAATTTGACGATTGTCAAAGAGCAAGACAGATCTAAAGAACTTTCTCATTTGCACTTATATCATTGCTCTCAGAGTAAAACTCTAAAAAACCAGCTATAATTTCTTGCAGTACAACTCAAATTAGGTATTGTAGATTAAAGCCTCTTATTGAAACTTTTTCATTTTGTTTTCATATGTAGGTTTATTTTGGCTACTGCTTTAATAGAATGAATACAAATGTGTTCATATAAAATTGAGTTCTAAAGGGAATGTTTATTGAGATTGGGAAAGGAAATCAAAATAAATTTCTGTAGTTTTGGAGAGTCAGGACACTTGCTTCTGAGATTTCCTTCAACAGTTTACTAGAGCTAACGGCATGGAAATGTTTTCTAAATTAGGACTGACTTCCACAGCCTTTGTGCAACACTGTAACACTCATTAGCCATTAACCACCATTAATCAACAGGGGCCCAGGCAATAAGGGGCTTAAGTTTAATATGCATCACGATAAATCAGTTGTTATTAAATCACCAGATTAATAAGAAGAAAGGAAACAAAAACACTGTGGAATCAATTTTAAGAAAGGGTAGGGAAATCAGAACCTGACTTTAAAGACAGCTTCACCTGGGCAGAGGTACCTGCTGAACAGAATGTCTGGAAGCCTGCGTACTGGCGCTTCCAAGTAAGAGGGTGTTAAAGAAAAGCCTTTCATCATAGCGCATACTCAGCTGACCTTGTAGGTGTCACCAGAGCTGACCTTGTAGGTGTCACCAGAGCTGACTTTGTAGGTGTCACCAATAGCCAAGTCCTGCTATGTAGGTAGCTAAGCAAGACATAAGGGAAAAAAAGAGGACATAAGGTGGACATAAAGGAAGTTGGAAAGTGTGTCAGGAGGAACACAGAAAGACACTTGAAAAAGAAATGGAAGAAGGTGACATATTTGAAAAAGCGACAGAGATGTGTTCAAACATCTGTTTTTGGTGATACAATGTTCATAACCACTCAGTTCACTTGCTGTCTCTTAGATTGTTGACATACAGCAAACATTAGACTAGGAAGCAAAGGAGGATTTAGCCTGTTAGAAAAGACATCATAGTCACAATAATTCCCTATGTGTCCTCAGTTTACAAATTAAAAAAGTGAAATCTAGTGATCATTGCACTGTCAGGGATGGTGCACTCCATTCATTAGCAGAATCAGATCTAGAAATCCAAACTCTGACAAAAACATCAGTGATAATTTCTCTGCTGTAACTGCTTTGCAAAAAACAAGCACAAAAAGTATAGATAATCTTCTTAAATGAGCTTAAGCACTTTCCATCTAAACTAGTCCACATTCTTCTGTCAAGGCTTATCTCACATGCTGCATAAGACATAAGCAAACAAACACATGAAAGATTTTTCCTTGCCCAAGCTCCTTCTCTCTTTCCGTGTCCAGTATGTCTCTCCTTCACAGCTTGCAGCATTTGTCTTGCTCTGTCTGGGTGTTTTCCTCTCTCCTCACATCTTATGCACATATACAAAGAGCCATGCACACAAAGGCCTGTCTGTGCGCATATGCCGTAAACATTTACACCTCCACACAGGCAATCTCCTTACAGAAGAGTCCATGCTAAATCAGTTGTTTTTTTTCTCTGTTGCTTTGCATATAGGGAGCTTGTAAAAATTATATTTAGGAGAAGATTTGGTTCAGTGCTGTGTGGTGGAGAATCCACCAAACTTCAGAGAATGCATTGACTCCACTGGTAAATCCCTGCCCAATCTCACAGTTTAACCACCATCTCTAAGTGAGAGCGCCAAGTTTTCTCAACTGTGTAGAACCATTTCTAATTTCTTCTCTCATTTGCATGGTGGTCAAACACTTACTTCTGAACTTCTGTTCAGTAGTTTAAACTTAACAAAAACTCAAAGCCATCAGTTTTCTTTCATTGACATCACCTAACCCGGCATGGAAAGTGACATTGTCCAAACCCTTGTCTCTGTATTACGTTGTGTGCCAAGTTTGACAGTTCAATTCTTTCTTAGTTTCTACTGCTGAGTGCCTTTTCTTTGTTTTCTTGACTATAATTCAAATTCAGGTCTTTATTCCTTCTGTCCTGGAGTGTTGAAATATGGTTGACTTAGCCGTCGCTGCTCTGGTTCCACAATAGGCATCTCAGCATAATCCCAGTCCTGACTAAAACCCACTGCTCCAAATCAGTTGCAGATTAGAGTCTGAGCGTTTCGCCCTGAGAGTCAAAGTTCTGTATCATCTGGAATCCACCTATATCTCCAAATTTATCTATTATCACTTTCTTTCATTCCAACTGCCAGAAAAACTGACATTCCTATTTGTGATTATTTCCTGTCACTTTATTTTTTTCCTCTATCCCCACTGGCTTTCTTTCCTATCTTTTCCCCACTTATCCTAACCCTCCCTACTCTTAGGAGCCTCCCAATGTGAATAATACTTTAGAGACACTCATTCAGGGCAGTCATCACCTCCCATCTTGCGTTACATCATTTTGGTCTAGAACTTTCCTCCCACGCATAAGTATGTTATTTTCTCTTTAAAAATATCTTTGTTGAGTACTCAACAGCACAGCACATGGCTGATCAATTTTCAGAGCTTCCAGAATTCTTCGCAAAATTCCTTGCATATGATACGTACTTACAGATAAAAGTTTACTCAATAAATATTAATTTACTTGCTGCTGATAAAGTTCTGGTATCATTATTATTATTATTTTATTAGCATGCATTAGTAGTACAAGAGGGTTTTCCTTGTGAAAGTTCTGATATCTTACTTTCTAATATCATAATCATTCACTCTAGGAAATGTTATTTATTTACTTTGTAGAATAATCAGTAGCTGAACTACCAGTGTTAATTTACAGTTTCAGTAGTTACTACATTAAGTGGTATTGAACAGGCATGGAACCCAATCCTTAAGGGAATACTAGGATTTTGTCATAATGTTGGAGCCTAAGTATACTTTTTATTTCAGTACATCAAAAAATTTAGCAGTCATCAAACCACATTGACAACCAAGCCACCATGATTTTTCAGTGTCCTAGCTGCAGGATTGGAAATAAGTTGTGATATTCAGTTTATGCTTAAAGACTATTCTTTATTCCCCAGGTGTGATGGGAGAATATGAGCCCAAAATTGAGGTTCATTTCCCTCCCACGGTTACAGCTGCTAAGGGGACAACTGTTAAGATGGAGTGCTTTGCACTTGGCAAGTAAGTACAGACTCTTCTATAATTAGACACAGTTGTTTATTAAAATGTGACATATCTATTTGGATCATTTATTTTGGTAGATTTTGTTTTCCCAGAAGCTTCATGGTAGCTAAATAGTTTTTAAAAGAAGGAGAACTGGGAATTGACAAAATAACCAATTGTAATTATCCTCCTAGTCATTTCTGTGGTCTGCAATGTAAATGATTTTGCTGTTTTAACATAAAAGAAATTTCTCACACTTAAAGAAGAGCTTCACATCTCTTTGCCTACTTGTCTAAAAATTTCTGTATCACCCTTAAATTTCATTCAGCAATGATGTGAAAAAAAGAGGATAAAAGGACACAGTGCTATCTGTTCCTCACATGTAGTATGCAGCATGAGAGCACGAACTATCAATAAGTATGGCACATAACCATTTCTCAAATCAGAGAGATGATTTATGCCACACCCTCTTGTTAAGGACTCTGTTTCTGCTGATTTAAATTCCATGATTATATATAGTCATTCGTCAGTGATATTGGGATGGATATAGGGATTAGCAACAGCAATGGAGTTTTGATCATATTTGATTAGAGTATCATGTTTATTCTAAACATGGTATGGATAATTTTTAGTGTTGAAACCTTAGGGTCCCCTCTAGACTCTATAATTATAATCTGCATAAATGCATCTCTATCAGAGTTATAATCATTGAACTGTAGTTGAGTTGAGCTAACTCCCAAAGCATAATTGCAAAGTTCTTGGAGATCAGACATGCTACATAAATGTGATTATAATGGGGTTCTGTAGGTGATGAAAATGTTGGTAAACATGAGAAACTCGACCCATAGCTGGAAGCTTAGGAGTAAACACAGTGCCATGTGCTTTGACTTCCAGAGTGGTTAAATCATGTCTGTGCAGGACTACTCAGATATAAGTGGAGAAAATATCACAACAGATTGAAGCCAAAATAAGCCAAGTGTAGCACATTTTTAAGAAAATGATGTCCATATGTAAAATTATATTTTAATAAATTAAACTGCATCTCGGAGATACTTTTAGCATGTATGTGAGGAAGCCTTCCAAATCCAAAGATGCTAGTTAAATGTGTATATTGAATAAGACCCTGAAAATCTGTTTTTTACCATTTTCCCATGTTGCAACATCAAGTATGCCTGAAAATGTCCCAAGTAAGATGCTTAATTCTGATAAATGCAAAAATAGTATATTCTCACTTGATGCTGAAGGTTTTAGTATATCCTGAAGTCAAATAATTCTTAAATTCCAGAATTTGTAGTAAAACCACAAACAAAAGGAGGTCATATTGTAAAACAAATTAGAAAAGTAGATTTATGGAAGAAGTAAAACAATATAGGATATTTCCCTAGGCGGGCTTATTTAATAAGTTAGGTGTGGTTACTTTTTGAAACTCTTGAAATGTGCTTAGTAAATGGATGCTTAAAGTCCCTTTCCATCTAGGTCAGATGCAACTGTCAAATCATTTCTTTTCTTTTAATACATTACTTTCTTCAACTTCTCCACTCTTTCCTTGCTCCTCCTCCCTTCCCAAAAATAAAATAAAAGGGTACAAAAGACACACCACTCAGTCAAGAAAGATATTCTTTCCGTGAAATGTCATAATTTTGGAAAAAAAAGAAACACGTTATAAAGAAATCTACTGCCAGCAGCACAGCAACTAAGAGATGGCATAGATAAATGGGACTTCATAAAACTTTTGCTCAACAAAAGAAATGGTCTCTAAACTGAAGAGAACACCCACAGAGTGGGAGAAAATATTTGCCAGCTTACACATCAGACAAAGGACTGATAACCAGAACATATAGGGAACTTAAAAAACTAAATTCTCCCAAAATTAATGAACCAATAAAGAAATGGGCAAGTGAACTAAACAGAACTTTCTCAAAAGAAGAAATTCAAATGGCCAAAACACACATGAAAAAATGCTTACCATCTCTAGCCATAAAGGAAATGCAAATTAAAACCACGCTAAGATTCCACCTCACCCCTGTTAGAATAGCCATCATCAGCAACACCACCAACAACAGGCGTTGGCGAGGATGTGGGGAAAAAGGAACCCTCTTACACTATTGGTGGGAATGTAAACTAGTACAACCACTCTGGAAAAAAATTTGGAGACTACTTAAAAATCTAAACATTGATCTACCATTTGATCCAGCAACACCACTCTTGGGAATATACCCAAAAGACTGTGACACAGGTTACTCCAGAGGCACCTGCACACCCATGTTTATTGCGGCATTATTCACAATAGCCAAGTTATGGGAACAGCCAAGATGCCCCACCACTGACGAATGGATTAAGAAAATGTGGTATCTATACACAATGGAATTTTATGCAGCCATGAAGAAGAACGAAATGTTATCATTCACTGGTAAATGGATGGAATTGGAGAACATCATTCTGAGTGAGGTTAGCCTGGCCCAAAAGACCAAAAATCATATGTTTTCCCTCATATGTGGACGTTAGATCAGGGACAAACACAATAAGGGGATTGGACTTTGAGCACATGATAAAGCGAGAGCACACAAGGAAGGGATGAGGATAGGTAAGACACCTAAAAAATTAGACAGCATTTGTTGCCCTCAATGCACTAAAGCAGATACTTTAAAGCAACTGAGGCCAATAGGAAAAGGGGACCAGGAACTAGAGAAAAGATTAGATCAAGAAGAATTAACCTAGAAGGTAACACACACGCACAGGAAATCAATGCGAGTCAATGCCCTGTATAGCTATCCTTATCTCAACCAGCAAAAACCCTTATTCTTTCCTATTATTGCTTATACTCTCTCTTCAACAAAATTAGAGATAAGGGCAAAATAGTTTCTGCCGTGTAGCGAGGGGTAAGGAAGGGTAAGAGGAGGGATAAGGGAGGGGGTGGGGGGAAGGGGGGAGAAATGACCCAAACATTGTATGCACATATGAATAAAATAAAAATTAAAAAAAAAAAAGAAATCTACTGCCATCTAAAGCCTAACCTTCCTCGCCTTATGAAAATATAAAGAAATCACCTTTGACATGCATTGGTTCCTTACAGAATAGTATCATCTGTGACAGATGATCCTTGAGCCCTGTCATGGTCACAGCAATTTCAAACTAAAGTCTAAGCATATGCTTAGTTCTCATTGCTCACCCAAGCTGCTTCCACTCCTAGGTTGTTCTGGGAGCCTTTGTTCCAAGACCCTCAGTACCTGTCACACAGCTGAATCTTCCTCTCAGTGAGTGTTCAACATTTCTGGTTAGATGGTCCTCACCACACTTTATAATCAAATTCAGGAATGGAGCTCTTTTCCACCTCACAGCCTTTGCACTTGCTGCTTCTCCACTAGGAACACTCTTACCTATACTTCATTGTGACTCCCACTTTCCCTCTCACCTCAACTTCAGAGTTACTTTCTAAAGAGACTATCAGTGACTGGTTGGCCTAACTCACACCCTTTGTTCTCTGTCCCAATTCTTGTGTGTCTCCGTACTTATACATGTGTTTCAGTATTTATAATATGTTAGTATCAGTCAGGATCCTACATAGAAATAGAATCCAACTCAGATGGTTCAGTAGACTTTAATAAATGGCTAAGTTGGAAATTTGTGAGCAGAGTTAAAAGTTACCAGTTCTTGCTACTGGTAGTAGCAAGAACTCCTATTGCCTTTAAGCCTGAAGGAGCCAGGAGATACAGAATGAACCAGAGGCTACACAGGAGAACCAGAAATCTATGTAGCCATGATAAGCACATAGCTTAAGAATGATCAGGAATATTTCCCCAGGCAGGCTTATTTAATAAGTTAGATGTGGATACTTTTTGAAAGTTTTGAAATATGCTTAGTAAATTGATGCCCAAAGTCCCTTTCCTTGCTTGGTGCAGGTGGCTCATGTCTATAATTCTAGTTACTTGGGAGCCTGAGATTCAGAGAATTGCAATTCAAGCCCAGCCCAGGCAAAGAGATCATGAGACCCCATCTCAACCAATAGGTGGGCACAGTGGTGTGTGCCTGTTATCCCAAGCTAGGTGAGAAGCATAATATAGGAGGATCCTGGTCCAGGCTGGCTTGGGCAAAAAGCGAGACCCCATGTCTAAAATAACCAGAGTGAAAAGGGCTGGAGGCATGGCTTCAGTTGTAAAGCACCTGCCTACCAAGTACAGAGCTCTAAGTTCAAAACCCTGGACCCGCCATTTAAAGAGAACTTTAGTCAAATTGTTTCTATTGTTGTAATTATTTTCTTCTACTTCCTCACTCTTTCTTTGCTTCCCTTCCACTCGCAAAAATAAATACAAAAAAAGAATTCACATCCTGACTTCTTGTTCCTTATACCTTCTGGTTTCTTCTAGAGGCTCTCATGAAACCAACCAGAAACCAAGCCAGAAGTTTGCTGGGCAGAGGAGAAAGTGATTGGGGCAGATAGTTCAGAGGGAAGGGTAGATGACAGACAGAGGAAGAAGACAGAGCACCCAGCACATTGCTCAGCAATAGGATTTGAGCCCCAAGAGGACAGGACACTTGACCGTGTTCCTCATTGGTACTTTGCTATTCCCTTCCCTAGTGTCCAGCTCTTAGCAGTCAGAAAACATTTGCAGAAGGAATGCATTAACTCAGAAATACTGTGTCCACTTAATCCAACCCACTACTTACTGTTAAGTGATGATGAGCAATAACTTCTTTATATTTAATGCTGTCACATCCCAAAGTCCACATATGTGCACTTCTCACCTCTCTCTCTCACCTATTCACATCCAACTTTACACTCCTCCTCTTGTCCCTACCTTTTCCTGCCTGTTCCTGCTCACTTCATCAAGTATGTCTTTGTCTTAGATTTGCTGTTTCTCCATTACCTTTTCTTGTGATAAGAACACTAGTCATGAGATCTACCCTTTCAAAAAATCTCTAAGTGTGCCTACAATGCACAGGTACAGCCTTGCTGGCGACAAGCGGCATGTTGCCCAGCAGCCATCCAGAAGTTATTCCTCTTCTATAACTGCAGCTTT